GATTGGAACTTATACAACTCGTGAGATGTCGTATATGTTGAGCGTAAGCGTGCACATCACGCTTACCCTGCTTGAGCTTCAAGAGTTCGGTTCGAGCCCTGAACTCAGCTCTAGGCGGTTCAAACGTTTGTCTGAGCCGCGACTTGAAGACTTCCAACGACCCAAACGCATATGGGTCGTGCAACTTGAGCCCCAGTGCCCATGTCTTCGCACGTCCTGCCAGATTTGACTGGGCAAATGCAACTTGCATATCCCCGTCGTCGATGCGACGCGCCCTTATGGCGTCATCCAATTCGACGAACCATCTCAAGAGGGAGTCTTCTTCGACCCCCCTATACTTTGAGATGTCAATCTTCAAAGTCTCGGGTCGACGCGAGTGCATCGACCCGCCAGCAGCAGCCTGCTGCTGTCTCAACAGTTCAAACTGTTGAGCACCCTGTTCTCTCAACAACTCTGCTTGTTGAGAACCTTGTTGGTGAAGCAAGGCTACTTTCTCGCGTTCAGCGTCAAGTTCATTTTGAATGAACTTGGCGATAGTAGCATGTTGGGCATCTCTATTGAGAGCCTCTAGCATGACGCTAACAGCATGGATGCCCATGGTTGAACCCATTCGTTCAACCGCATCCCTTTCGACATCGCTTAGATGGGAGTAGCCGTCACGCGTAGCGTGAAAGCTTTGGTCATCTTCATCATCCAACATATTCATGTTCGATGTGAACGTGGTCCTTGGACGGACTACGAAGTGCTACCAGGTGTAACGGGGCACCCTGAAGCTTGTACTGGTGACAGTACAAGCTACTTATTCTGATGACAGAATAAGGCGGTGCCTCGTAACTTCACGTACACTCGTACGTGCAGAGGAAGACGGTAAGAAGAAGCGAGTACTTGGTTAGAGTAAAAAGTAGAACTGTATTTATAATAGTTAATGTCTGCAATAAATCACTATTTATCTTCATCTAACTATGTCTAAATACAAATGTGTAAATCAGTTATCTGCTCACCACTCATTGCGTGCGTCTGTCGTGGCGCGTCTTCGTTGGTTGATATAATGGCCTATATCAACCAATTAGGAACTACTTGTAAGTGCTACAGAATATTTGTCCTTATGACAATATTCTGAGAATATAACTCTTATAGTTATATTCTATTAACAATTTCTTATAAATTGTTATGTAACGATTCACCCCGTTACATACATCGTGTGTCAGGATTTTGTACGCCCCGTGTCACCTCCATGACGAACGGATTTGCAATCCTTCTTACCTACGTGGCCCACGGCAGAGCGCGGTATGCAATCGTGAACCTTGACCGCGGTCCCTCTTTTGAATCCTCATCATCTCTCCACAGTCTGGGACGGCGCTTATGGATGGGGATCTGCCCGTTGGGTCATTCAGCGGTGACGTATATGTTAATGGCCATCGTCCCACAACCGTTCAATTAAATCCAACTTCGTAATTAATCGGAGTCGAGATTTTCACAAAACCGATCTCGATCGGCTTTACCACATGATCCTACTCACCTTTTATCAATTTTGAGCCAATTACATGCGTGCGTCACAATAGTGACCTAGCCAAAGAGTGGCGCATATCATGCTAATCAAGCTGTGAATAGGGACAAGCTAGATCGTACTTAATACGTGTAAGGCACACCTAACCGCATTAATAACAGACACGCCCAGATAAGTACGATCCAAAAGTTCGGCCATCTTGCGCACACCTATTTGTAGCTCCACCCTTCGGGCTCGTAATGACACTATACATTGGTCAAGTGGTATCGGTCAAACAGGGTTATGCTCTTGTGGTTAAGTCGAGACGATTCGACGATAGCTGGATTCACTATGCGTAGTGCGACATATACTCAGGGCAAGGGCTCAGCATGCGAAATTTTGCTCGCGGCGAAACGTCGATGCCGAAGAGTTTGCAACATGGCACAACATCTTTAGCGATCGAAAAGTGATTCATCTGCTAGAGCTAAGGCTTGTTAGTGTTTTCACGCACACACAAGCAGCTTCATACAAAGAGCATTATGGCACACATTCGAGTCTAACTACTTCCTCTTCTTCTAGCAATTACCCGTAACTCAAATTCGCGTTGGTGTTCGCAAGAGCTTGATATATTGATCGATTCATTTGTGACAACCCTAGGCAGCAGTTTTCTGTACAGACCTAATGTCGCACATTGCGTGGGCGTTCGTAGCCAAGTGGACGTGAATGCACACCATATGTGATGAGAACGATGATGAAAGCCCATTCTCATCCTAAAAGTTTTCACGGACAGTCCAAGCAAATTCTAGGATCAATTTCCGTCGGCGGGAGCGCTACTTTGCACGAGCTGAAGTGGGTAACGCCTTGTCTCAATATGACCCTATCTTGTCCACTGTCGTGCGAGCGGAAGAGCAGGAAACGATGTTACGACATGTAGGGTTCACGTACCATGTGTGATCGCTTCGAGGAACACATAGCGTAAACCGACTGGCTGTGTTTGTAGCCATACCAGAAAACACCATTACTGGTGATTGATCCCGGGGTCTACCGTCACTGATAGCGTCGTCCTAACGAATATCGGCGTCCTAACTAAAAGCGGCGTTCTCAGGCTCCGCAATGATGCATCAACTAGCCCACGAGGTACGCAAACCGCGGTTGCGGTCGCCACCTCGCTAAGGCTGTCTATAACCGGCGTACCTCCTTCCTCTGCAGGATAGAGCAGCTATGCATAGAGCGTACTATCGGATAGTCTCATGTCCAGTTTGGAAGGGATGGTCTTCGGTCCGGTCTTAATCGACACCTCGCCTCGAGAGGCCTGCCTCGACACGTTTGCGCGCCCAGCGTTCATTGTGTCTGGCCCATAGAATCGATTCCTCAACATTTTGTAAATCGCATGCTGTAAAGAGTAAATATTTGAAATCTCACATGAAAGACTCCATCCGGACTCTGCGTGTCTCTGAACCCTTCTTTAGAAACATCCGATTTTACAAGGGCGCAACCAGCACATCCAAATCGTGCGACCACTAGCTCCATCTGTTTGCACCGCAAATCATGGATTGATCTTTTGTCTAAAAAGATAGAAGCCGCATTCAAAGAAGGCATGTGTAAATGAATATCCTGATTAGTAAAATTAATCGGTATCTAAATCTAAACATGAAAAAGACCTTAAAATAGACCTCAAGAACATTATACGTTGATCACGTGCTGACTAAGCCCACCCACCCGGCTTTGCTTCCAGGAGACGCTAAATCACCGGATGAGACAGACTATTCAGCCGGTATCGATAGCCGGTAGAGAGGTTTTGGCCAGTCTAAATCCTGCTCTGAGGTTTGGCCAACATAAATCCTCTCTGATGGTCTTGCGCGCTTGTAGAGTGGGACAGGGGGGATGGGCGGACAACAGCAGGTATCACAGACATGATTAATTCCACTTACCTCTCAGGTGTAATATAATATAATAGGGAGGGGTAACTCGTAGCCATCCATCATTCTTCCCAATAATATTGGAAGAAAAGGCATTCACATAAGTCGATCACAACAAATTAAAATCAAAAGGCTATTGTATTAAGATTTTTGTGCGTTTAGAGTTCGCGCACGTACGGGTGCTACAATTATGCATGTACTCAACTCAAGATGATAGATTTTTGCCGCCCAGACACTTTATCAACAATAATCCATGAATAACTAGTCGTTCGACTCAGCTCAAGCTGGCAGGGTTGTAAGAATTGAAACTTTTGCCGGACAACGTTCCCTAAACACTCTATTCTCTTCCAAAAACAGGATGACAAACCCGACTCTACACCTTGTTTATAGGTAAAATTACTTGGAGCTATCCCTGACTCCATAGCAAAACTAGAGATTTCATTTTAACGAGTGCCCTTTTGTAGATACCAGTCATCCTGCCACGTATACGGGTCTATAATGGCATTACAAGAAGCTGCACCAAATTATTAGGGCGACCGTGACCTTTCCGGAATCACGTAACTTGACAAGAGAAGAAGAATGACACACAGACCACGACATTAACACCATACATATACACACATATACGATAACGACGAATAATAAGTCACTTTATGGAACCTGAGAGGGAAAAAACACTATAACGTACCGAATGAACAAAAGAGTCCATTTTTAACAACAGTTTCAAACGCTGCAAAGCTCAGAATTGCGGGGATTTGGCAATACCACCTTCGAATAGCAGCTTTTTAAATTGGATTTAAACAGCTAAACTTCATCATACCCTCAGAGTGTACAGATACTGGTAGCGGTTCAAGTGAGTCTGACGTCGTCGCCAGACCGGTGAGCTCCTTATTCGGGCACGGACAAAGCACCACAAGTCCTGAAGAGATCGTCAACCAATTCATAAGGCTCAGAGCGCGCCTGGATGCAGCAGAGATGAACCTAGCGTAAACGCCGGCGATACTGGCATTGCTAAAATAATGCGGATATTGTTGCTTCGAATGATACTGGGAAGATTGATGGCTAACGTTTGTGTGAGTCATGATTTACCCCTCCCCATTATATTATATTACACCTGAGAGGTAAAATGGAATCAATCATGTCTGTGATACCTGCTGTTTTGTCCGTCCACCCCCCCCTGTTCCACTCTACAAGCGCGCAAGACCATCAGAGAGGATTTATGTTGGCCGAAACCTCAGAGCAGGATTTAGACTGGCCAAAACCTCTCTACCGGCTATCGATACCGGCTGAATAGTCTGTCCCACCCGGCAGTTTAGCGCCCCCTCTGCTTCCGCTTGATCCGAACGTCTACGTTTCTACTTCAATGAGACAACAAACCGACGATAAAAGAGTCAGAGCAGATTGACGGGAAGCACTTTCCTGAAGCTGTGTTTCGAGAAGACCAAGTACCTCGAGTCTCAAGTCACCACCTACCACTTGCTCAAAAAACGATCCCACTTAAACTTCCTCATTTCCAAATCCACATCTCACCCGGCACCAAGTTCCCCACCTTTTCTTCATCGTCACCAACGGACTGTATACCTATCGTCTGGATCATGACCAAGTGCTTCCCTCTGCTCCTCGTTCTTGCGCTCCTCGTGTCTGCCGGCGCCAACGCTCTTTCGGCCTCAAAACCAAAGGATCCGACTGACTCGACGACGCTGACGACGGTACAAGGTAAACCGGAAGGCGAAACCGTTGGCGTCAACGACGAAGAAAGACAGATACCTGGAGTGGGCGAAGCGATAGGGGCTTCTACGCAGAGTTTTCTGCGAAGAGCGAGGGATCTGGTTCGTTACGTGCCAGCTGACGTGGCTGCGAAAACGGCCAAAGGGATCAGGGCTGCGCGTGACGAGCTGGATAATGGGGTGACAAAGGTCAAGCTTACCGTGGCAGAACAGAAGGCAGCCGAAAAGGACATGAAGCTGAAACTTGCTACATGGGAAGCAGCGAAGGCCAAGGAGTCCGTGCAGCGTCTGAAGGAGAAGAAAGAGGCGGTGAAGAAGGTGAGGGAGGAGAAGGAGAAGTTGCGCAATGCAAAAAGATTCAAGGAGGAAGCGAGGCGCAAGGACGAGGCAGCGGCATTGGCATTCGAACGGAAAGTCGACGATACCATCAGGATATTTCGGGATGCCGGAAACGATGACAACAAACTCCTAGAGAGGTTACTCCGTGCGGACATTACGCCGGAACAATACGCCGCCGCGCAAATAAAGGCGGTTGAGCGTACGACCAACGCCAGACACAATGCGAACCGGATCAGTCCCGACTTGTTCGCAGAAAAGTATAGCATATACAAGAGCCTTTTCGTCAAAGGCAACCGTGAAGCTACTGGTCACACGGTGGAAAAACCGGCTGAGAAAGTTGTGCCTTGATCCGTCTATGCAGCAGTAAAGACACTGCCACAGACCATCTGTAGAGCGCTTTGAAGGGTATTGGGAGGTGCAACGTAAGTTTTGAATAACATTGTTATGCTTCGACTTTGAGCTGGCTTTGAAATGCGTTGACTCACTGAAACCCTGTACCACTCGGTTCATTCTTTGTGAGTTCATTATGTGCCGGATATAGAACGGGGTCAGAAATTATCACATTATGATACAGGAGCAGAGTCAAGCTCCCGAGGGAGCTGAAGCGTTCTGTATGCACAAACTAAAGCGCGACAGAGGGCTATAACGCTACTGTTTATCATTTCCTGTAACTTAGCGGAACATTCTGCACATACAATGCATGGCTACATCGTACTCGATACACGATGCATTGAACCCCGGGCTGTCGTCAGGAAAAGCAAAAGTAAGTTTCGATATCTGGCAAGGGGTCTACGCGATCAGTGATGATCGAAGGCTCGAATCATAGACATTTTAGACGGGGAGAGTCGGATGCATTCACCTGATCAGAGCATTGACCGACTGTTGCCAGGACGCATACAACATCAACCAGCAAGCCTTTATGCGAATCGAGGAAGCACACAGTATCCACCAGATCAAATCTCGTCATCCTGCGTGCATGAACTCAGGTGACAGATATGCTACCGGGTCAATTTTCGTGACGAATGACAAGGTTCTGTTTCGTGACCATAACCGGGCTTCCTCGGAACACCGTCTTGTTGTGACAACGGCTACTTGAAGTCATGCATTAATGCTACCCTCGTGCTAACGCATATGTCGTGGCGAGGTTAACACGATCATATCATTCAAGTTTCGCTGACCTGACTATTGTTTTTTTACGTTTTTAATGTGTATAATCGCAAGTGTCCTGGATCACTGGCTTCGCATGCCCGGCTTACTCGACCCAACTACTCTTATACGCATGCGACGGCACATGGAAATTTAGCTTTTCTCTCCTGTCTTGGTCTTTGTCATGGTGGTTTTGATTCCGCTGCAAAGCTTCTTCAGTGTCCTGCTCAGATGCACCAACAACCAAGACCGCAAGACTTTACTTGCTATCATTTGATATTGCCTTGTGCGATGACCGGTACCTACGATTCGGATGTCGTTGTACTCCAGCGCGTGATTCCAGTACTACCGCGAGCCCATTTTGACTCGCAAAATAAGTAGGCAAATTCAGCATTGAAAGCAAAACATCACGGTAACGTGTGCTGCAGCATCGTAAGTCACATTTGCTCGTTTACGCCTTGCAATCATCGATTCACCTCGTAGCACCTAATTTACTGACGGGTGTCGCAGCTCCTGAAGCGGTAATTCTGCTAGATAGGCGGTGTCTTGAGAGGTTTTGAGCGTCTCAATACACCTGAGCATTGACACTTTCGCTCGATTGCTGAGAAGGCAAGAAGAAGCTTTACGTCGACTATAACTAGGATGGCGAGTGTACGTAAGAAAAGGCCTGGAGATATGTGCTCTTCGATAGGTTTCCTGTAAACGATTTGCCGACTCAGTGCAGTTTTCAGATGACGAAGGAAGTGTATCAGTGACTTTTACGGGATCCTCACCGTGATGACTAGTGTGTTCACGTACTTCTCGTCTATCCGGTCCGCAAAATCTCAAACAGCACAATGCGAACTTCATCCGACACTCCACGGAGATGAGACATCTTTATGTCTGAGAAACGCGAAAGCCTTCCTCGGTGAAGTGCGTATTTCCTTGTTACACAAACAATTAGTAGGTGAATACTACGTCTGAAACATTCGTAGCCTCATCCGTAACTGAAAACTTTGCTATTTTCATCTAGAGACAACGATTGTATGCTTGTCGATATTCAGGAGATGGCGTCTTGACGTTAAAATGCTCTGCATCTCGGCGCACTCGGGCCACATGTTTTCTTTTCCTGCTACCTGCATTAATGAGACAGAGGATGCACTCATCCGAATTGGTCGAATACGGATTTGTGTGTCGCAGAATGCCTGCACTTTTGCTCCGCTTGACCGATGAGCCATCTATATCATGATCCGTTTTGTACATTCAATACGAAACTTACCCACTTTTTGCTATCCACACACCCCTCGTACCGATACTATGAAGTACTTTCGATGATGGCTGATAAAAAAGGCAGTCCTGTACTAGTACTACCGCCATGGGGTGGGACAGGTTAACAACCTTTTTCTGAAAGACTATCTGTGTTCAGGGGTGGCTCTAAGTTGCGGTTGTCGGATAGTCTATTTTAATGGTTGACTACCTATGTGCAAGTTCTCTTATAGTTCGTAAGCGAAGATTCAACTTCCCAGGGGTGACTCGAGGTAGACAGCAGGCATAACTAATTTGAGCTCGTGATCTACTCGGTTCTTGGTCCAGCATAGAGAATGTCACATAAAAGTGCAAACCCGAATCTTTCGATATTCTCTCTTCGCGATAGCTCGTGGGTGACCGATGCAAGAAGCCAAAAGCTTGGTGTGCTCCCGCGTTCATACCGAGTAGTACTGCCCTGTAAACACATGGATTTTTTTTCTGTACAGATCTTGATTTGGCACATCGTGGCAAGGATGTGCCAAACATTTATCCATACTCTTTTAGCTCCCTAAACATTATAGAGAAACCTGTCGGCTAGTTTTCTTTCGTATATTTAATAGTAGACTGAGACTTGTTTGCTAGCACTCACATCGAAGAATTATTGCGTACGCTGGTGGGATGCTTGTTCCCCGGTCCATTGCGCGACTTTTTTGTCTCAGAGGTGCAGCGCTTTAAAATTCCCGAAGCAGATGGTTAGGGTCTTTTAATTCGTCAGCACCTCGGTACTGTTCTACAGCTTTTTTCTTTGGCTCGCCCAGCATGGAACATATTAAGTAGTATAGACGCAACGTGATAAGACTTGATGATCCGAGAGGTCATTGCTGTGATCCGAACTTGCCGTGGAGATTTCTGGGGAGCCACGCGAGGTGTAGCCCCAAGTACACAAACGTAAATAATCAGTCATTTAGTCGTGATCTGCGTAGTCTATACAGGTGGCAGATCAACGTGCGGTATGCATTACGCGAAAGACGACGGTGTGCTCCCTAGCATTAGTCAAACATTGCGTCGAATCAAAATTTTCGAATCCATCCAGTGGCGGCGGTACTAGAGCGTAAAACTTGTACAGATAGTGTGATTGTGAGCCCGAAGGGTATAGGTTATTAGTGACTGTGTGCAAGGTTGCATGCCGAACTTTTGGATCGTACTTATCTTTACGCCAGTCTCTGTGTGTGTCTGTTAAAAATACGCTTGGAGAACCTTAGCGTACTAATTGCTATCAAGCGAGTCCTCTCCTCATAGGTACATAGATCAATTCAAAGTCACGATTTGGTTAGGTCACTATTGTGATGCACGCTTATGATTGGCTTAAAATCGATTCAAGGTGAATATGATCATGTCAGCAAACACTGGACGCTCATAAGAAAAGAAAATCTCGTCTCCCGTTGCTGTACTGGTTTGATACAGACCTTTTCAGCCTTATTCTCATTCTTTAGTGACCGCTAGTGTACCGCTACTGTAAGTGTTTTGCAGCTTAATTCAGTTCTATGAGCTGGATTATTACATCAAAGGGCGAACTCCAGAGCTTGCTCCTTATCTTATGCAACAGGCCCACCCCGTTAAACATTGCGTTATTTGCATACAAAGGAGGCGAAAGAATAAAGTTTCACTTAGTACGACGCTAATAATACTCCAAGCGTTATTTATTAGAAAGACACTCACACGGATAAGTAAGATTTGAAAAGCTCGGTATCCACCTTGCGTAGTCACTTATCGCTCTACCCTTCAGACTCGCAACGAAAGGGTAGCTTCAGAGCTTGCTCCTCTATCTTCAATGTAGTGTGTTTAAACGGACAAATATTGTGAGACAAAAGCTTGCTTGATTTCTGAAAACCACAGAAAAACAAAGGGAGCAAACCATTGCTCCAACTCACCAGAATAGGTCATGTTCATATTGACATTGATTGAAATGTCAATGTCATGTTGCGTGCTCTCCACGTTACATTTTTCGACCAGAGTTGGGTACACACTATCTGAAAGCATTTTTTGCCAGAGTTCGGTACACACTGTATCGGTATGCATTTCACGTTGGCTTTTGATCAATGTTGTGTACACACTGTATCTGCATGCTTTTTACATAGGCTTTCTAATGGTCGTGTCGAGCAACGTCAGAGTGACTGAATCTAAAGTGTGCGGCGTGTAGTACGAATGTAGTATGTTCAATTACTTTTGTCCAGAACGTACAGTGCCGTCCGTACCGTGTTATTCCTAATCAGGGCATTCATGGTAAGGAGCTGTTTACACATGTGGTGGTACAGCCCAACAGCCAGCTAATCATCCCCTTGTGCGCAGTACAACCAATGCATCGCCAAACTCACTTGACTCGTGCAGTAAAATCTCACTCCATCGTTTCAACAAACTATTCTTCCCTCTTCCTTCCCTCCTTCCTTCTCTCTCCCTCTTGCACCTTCACACAGTTGTCGAGCTCTTGCCCCGCAGCTGCAACAACTCCCCTCGAGTTGTTTACGCCTCGTTGAGGATCGTCGTCTTGACAATCCGACCCGTTACAACGTACGGGTCCATGTTGGACGCTGGACGACGGTCTTCAAAGTAGCCCTTGCCCTCCGCTTCTGCCACGCGCGGGATCCGAATCGACGCGCCACGGTTCGCCACGCCGTACGAGAACGTGTCCATGCTGGCTGTCTCATGGCGACCCGTGAGTCGACGCTCGTTGCCTGTGCCGTACGCGGCAATGTGCTCCTTGTGCTTGAGCTTGAGCTTCTCAATGGCCTCAATGATCGCGGCAATGCCGCCGTCTTCACGCATCGCTTTGGTCGAGTAGTTGGTGTGGCAGCCCGCACCGTTCCAGTCGCCTGGAATCGGCTTGGGGTCCCACGACACGTTCACGCCAAAGTCTTCGCACACGCGCAACAGAATGTAGCGAGACATCCACAAATGGTCGCCCGACTCAATGCCCGTGCACGGCCCCACTTGGTACTCCCATTGGCCCGGCATGACTTCAGCATTGATGCCGGAGATGTTAATGCCTGCGTACAGTGACGCGCGGTAGTGGGCGTCCACGATCATCCGACCAAAGACCGAGTGCGCGCCGGCCCCGCAATAGTACGGACCTTGGGGACCAGGGAAGCCGCCTTGGGGCCAGCCATACGGCGTCACGCCGTCCTTCTCGAATAGAGTGTACTCCTGCTCAATGCCGAACCACGGCTCCTCGACAGCAGCTGCCTCCATCACACGGGCAGCGTCTGCCCGCGTGTTGTTGGCAATGGGCGTCATGTCCGGCTTGAGGCAGTCGCAGAGCACGAGCAGGTGCTTGCCACGACGGAAGGGGTCTTTGAACATGGCTACCGGACGCAGCAGCACCTCCGAGTCCTCGCCCGGGGCTTGGCCAGTGCTTGAGCCGTCAAAGTTCCACACAGGCAGGTCCGCTACTGACGCGACGTCGTGGGTCAGCGTCTTGGTCTTGCAACGCAAGTCTTGACCCGACCCGCCGATCCACACGTACTCGGCAAGGGTGACGTTGCCCGTGTCGAGAGACATGTATTGGTCGTAGACGGCGTGGTCGAGCTTGCTCATAGTGGAGATGGTAGTGAGTGAGTGGGTGGGTGGGGGACGAATGGCAGGGAACGAGTCGCACGTGGCAAATTCGAGTATGACCAACAACGGAGCTCCTGACTGCGTGTCAAACGCGGGAGGGGCGACAGATGGAGATTGCTGCTAGACGCAAGTTGTTTGGGCAAAAAGATCTACGTTTTTGAAAGAGGTCGACGCTCCTGTAGGTTGAAAAGGCCCTGAGATCTGATACGCATTGCGGGACGGAATGTCTGGCAGAATACTGTGTTCGGACCGGGTCTCGACACTTTAGGACGTCGGCTGATGCCACTTGGCAAGTTTTCGAGCATTTGATTGATTATTAGCGTGTAGTACGCGTGCGAATCTGCAGCAAAGAACCACAAGCCCCATGTCTATAAGCTTTTCTGATTGCCTCGTGGTAGCGCTTTTATCACGTTTGCAGAAAATAGGAACTCATTGGCACAAAGTGCAAGCAGCGAGTGTTTGTATTGAAGATGTAGTTGACGTTGATGCGATGGAGAAATGTAGTGAATAGCTTCATGCAGTCGGCAGTGTTCGGAACGGGGTACTAGTGACAGCCATGCGACGCTAAATCCATGCCTTGTGGTGACTTGATGGACCTGCAGAATCGAATATCTGAGAAAAGATCCGCTCTGATTCCGACGACGCGTCGAGCGTGTAGCTTTGTGATTGGATCAAATCGATGGATTGGATAAAGCCAGGCTAGGTGTTGACGGTCGAGTCACACGTGGTGTAATCGTGACATCATCATTGTTGTAGTGCAACTTGGCCACGTAGAATTGTACGGCAAATGGGTCGAGTGGACGTCTACAATTGCTGATATTATCAAATAAAACGGTGCGTATTTCGCCTGGAAATATCGATGGTACATCAACGCTTTTTCGCGTCGCTGCGAGCAATGGCATTAGAGATCGTCACATATTTAGGAAAGTGAATGATTGTGTCGTCGCAAAAGTAACCACGACACCACTCGGCAAGTTTGATCTTCGTAAAGAAACGTAAGGAGTGTAAAAGTGCTTGTAAGTTTGCAAACGCCAAGCTCCAAAGCTTCAGAAGAAAGCTAAACATTTGTCTCAAACGGAGTGTGGTATTTCACGCCGAGTGGGCAATAGCGATAGATAACTTGATGCAATAATAATACGGCAGGTGATGTACATGCGAGGACGAGATTCAGACTTGATGTCTAAATAGCCGAACTGAAGTGCGGCTTGGCGCCTCTGAGGACCGACTAATTGCGAAGCTGAAGGTTCCATTTGGATACATGTTTCGTGCACGCACGTACGATGAACTTGAAGCTGGGGGCCAATGGTTCCTGTTGTCGGAATCACAATCCTTTGGTAGAACCACATTTCCGTGGAAGATGGATGTTGGTCACGAAAAGAGACTACCACTAGTATCACAGTGTAAGACCGCTTGGTACCCACAAAAAGACTGCTTTGCGCTTCAGGTAAACGAACTTGCTTTCGTTACCACGATTCTCTCACCTGAACATTCTTTCGATCAAGCAAGTGCTCGACTGCTATGCAAAGAGGGTGATTAGGACAAAGATGCAAGGTGTGTGACCATGAGATGCGCTGCGTTAACTCTTAGCGCTGCTTTTCTATTCCATTAAATGAGCTCCAATCAAAGATTGTTCGGCGATCGTTACGCTTTGCCACTATCTGCCAAGTTGTTCGTACCCAGTCTTAGCAGGAGAAGCTCATCAATGCGACCGGTTTCGCACGGCAAGAGTGTTCACTACCACTGTAAATGACAGTACTATCGGTTTGCAACGACCACAATAGCAAAGTGTGCCTCGAGTCAATCAGATAAACGGACGTATCCGATCTATTGTCCGCTCGCTGCAGCGAGTCACTCACTGCTGTCACTTCGACTGCGTATTTTTGTGCCTCTTCTTCTCGTGATTCGATTTGGAATGCCGGCGATGCTTTCGATCAGACGACGACCGCTTCGGTCTACGACGAGAGTCGTGGCTACTGTCGTCACTCACGTCGGAGTCGTCGTCCTTGTCCCGTTTGTGTCGCTTACTACCCGATTCCTTCTTCTTCTTCTTCTTGGATCGTCGGTCGTCGTCCGAGACGTCCGAGTCCCGGTCATTAATAGCAGCCAAAGCCTGTGGATTCAAGCCACTTCCATTCAAGTCCTCACTGCTTACTTTGGAGCGCTTCTTGTGCTTCTGGTGCATCGATTTGTCCCGCGACGCGTCCAATTTCTTGCGATACGCCGTCGTGATCTGGCTCGAGACGTCTTTTTTGGCATCTTCCTGCAGCTTTTGCAGCTTAGAGCCCACGAGTTGGTCGTACATTTTTTGTAACGTCGATTCGGCATTTGCACTCTTGATCAGCGACTTGCCGTGGTCCTGACGCTTATGGCGTTTGCACGTCCCCGTGTAGCACTGCGGACACGTCGTCATGGGTGCGGACAATTATGCTTAAGCGGAGGGAAGACTTTGACTCGACTTTGGTCGACGGCAAAGTGCGGGATACTTACATGAGAGGCGCACGTGGTTTCTAGCAGTTCAAATAAACTGGCTTTTTTTATTTTTCACCAGTCTTCTATCAGCCGCGTTTTATCTTGTTTTTTTGCGTGTCAGATTAAATAGGCATACCTATAGCCAACCGTGTACGTATGGCACGTCTATATATCATCAGTGACTGCTTGCGGAATAGAACTAGTCAATTAGCTCTACAATTGGAATGAAGACACTAAGACTAGGCACGCAGTTTGATGGCCCACACGTAAGAAGGACCCGAGATTTGGAGGCGCGGAGGTCATGGGCATCCCAGGGAGTCACGGATACTTTCGTATCAAGAGTATCCACTAAGAATGTCGCATCGGAGAATGTACAAACTTGGGCGTTGGATCAGCAGGACAGAGGCATCTCGTAATCATAAGGTGAATGCTTGGCTTCTTTTTGACATCGAACGAGACGGGGTACTTGAATTAAATATGGCTATAAACAACCCCGCTGCTCTAGGAGGTAAGTGGTCGGTCGGAAGGAGACGAAGCGGGTGCTGGGATACCATCGTCTTAACCTTCCCGCTGAGATGACTCAACGATCTGGCTGGCTGAGATCGTCGTCTTTGGGCCCATCATTAATTGGTCCGACAATGCTTGGACTCAAGACCCGAATGAAGATGCGCTCAAGCATCGCAAGCATACCAACAAAGCGCCATCGTACTTCGGATGAGCCCATTTCTAACAGGCAAGATCGGCAGGATTCGTTTCTGACCACTTGATCGGCATAACCAGTCCCGAAAGTTCTTGGTCAAGACACTACAGTGGTGGGCAAACCGTGGCACTTCTATGCTTGCCCGTTATTGAAGTAGGAGGGGCGTCGACCGCCGCTTCGCCAATACGACTGCACCAAGAGACACTGTTTGGAAATACAGTTATGCTGGGGTCTCAGGTAGGACGGCTGAAGTGAGGCTCGTCGCAAGGAATGAGCGGTTTTCAAGGAGTGACCTTGCAACGATAAGGATAAGGCTGCAATGGTTTGTATTCAAACTGCGTTCTGGAGTTCAATGAGGACATGCAGCACCTGGCACTGACCATGAACACGGCGGATAGCACCGCTATGGTAGCGATCTTCGTAGCTCACTTTGCAACCGATTCGTTTTCGATGGAGTTCTTCGTGAGGTACGGTAATTCGTCATTGATCGACTGCAACTGGGCTTCAAGTGTTGAATTACTGGATGGGACCTCGGGACTTCACTACAGCTACTCGTGGATAGACTTGAGCTGGAAGCAACTCGGTCGAGTAGCAACATGCAGCAACATGGTAAACGTTGACACAGGTCTGGGATCGCAGCAACTGCAAAGTCTGGCTGAATTATCGACTAGCTGTCGGGCAGCTCAAGTGGAAATACACAGGGTACAACGGAACAACTGCTGCCGATAAATGGCCTGCTATTCAGGAGCTACAGAGACAATGTGGCACAAAGTCTGAGACTGTTGCAGTGCAGCAGCCCTCGAGAACAAAGTGGCGAGCTACTGGACTGGAGTTTGGGCAACGAGCCAGTGATCTAGTACTTTCCTGGCAGCTTGCACAAGGGGCAGTCCTTACTGCTTTTCTCGGAGCAGTGGGTTTCGTGCCAGATGATGTTTCTTGGTGACTGTAAGTTGCGGTGCTGCACGGTGGGCGGCGTTTTTGACGCTGATGTAAGAAAATGTATTTAGAACGTATCGTATCGAATGATCGATGACGTCAAAGACCAGAGGAACGAAGAGGTAAAGAAACGGGCACTGGGTCGCGGTTTATGTATTGAATGGCGGGTGGTTAATGAAGACCTCGTAGGCTAGTCTACTATCCGGGAACAAAACTTAAGCGGGCGTGACCGTTTGATGGTCGATACATGGGCCGCACAAACTTTTTTTTACATGAACATAGCAAAGGTCTATTCTCGAAAGTTTTAGCGATACTACATGCTATGCGGTTGGTAGTCGTCAACTTCATTCAGGAATATTCTGCAACGCCTACACTGGACATACCCCCACCCAAAAGAGCACCAGTCCTCGGTTTTCCACGCTCCTCCTTCACAAAAGTCGTAGTTGACTTGTTCATTTTCCCTTCGCGGTAAGCCTCTGTTTGTAGGCGTCCGAGATCACGCCTTCCTTCTTCATCCGTTCCAAATCGACATCTCACTCCGCAGTCGGCCGTTTCTTGTCCCACGGAACGTCATTCTTCATCCATGCATCATTCTCCCACCAGCGTCCAGCATTACTCCACCCAAACGGTTCCTCCTCCTCTACCGAGGCCGCCGCCGCCTTGTTTAAGACAGCCCCTTCCTGATTCTCTCCCAGTGCAGGCTCCGACTTTTTCGAGTCAGCTGCCCCCTCCTCCTTCCTCTTCGGAGCGGGCCCCCACAGTTTCAGGTCCGCTGCCCCCTCCTCCTTCCTCTTCGGAGCGGACCCCCACAGTTTCAAGTCAATTTCCTCTTCCTTCAGCCAGGCAGCCTTGGACCTTTTCGAGATAGCGCTCTCCTTCGTCTCCCAGAAAGCCTTCACCTTTTCCCAGAAGGCCTTGACCTTTTGCCGGACAGCGACCTCTTTCATCCAAGCGAGCCTACCGTGGACTTCCTTCAAACTGGCAGTCAACCATTCGTGCAGGGAGGATAGACACGTGGCCGCTCTTTCTTCAACAGTCGCGTCCCTCGCGACTTTAATGGATTGAACCGCTTGTTTACCATTCACGGGCGACTCAACAGTCTGAACTTGGGTTGAGGTAGTTGTTCTACGGCGCAGCGCATGGGCTGCAGGAGGCAGCACGCCGTCACTGTTGGCAAATACGACAAGTATAACCACCACGAGGAGGAGGTGGGAGCAGTTGAGCATGGAAATGGCTATACTGTCAGTCAGTTAATTGTGACGAGGATGGACGACTCGACAAGTGGTGGCTCACGGGAAGCGGATGGTGGTACGAAGAGAGTGGTACCGACGAATAGTGGGACTTCATGCCACATGGGCCGAGAGAGAGATGCTCCATCGCATCTGATGAATCTCCAGCACCGATCAGACCTCCCTTATTTTGTGTTACGTCATACTATCTTGCAAAGGTAGTGTGGAATATCAATAAATATGCTGCATCAAAATCAAAAGTTTTAATGAGACCTGAAAGCTACCGTGCAGCGCTTATAACGCCGTGTTAACAGTTTAGTCCGCAGTTCTTTGTGCGGTAGTTGCTGTCTTCGGCCAAGCAGCGTTTACGACGTACTTTTCACACCATCGGACTTGCATAATATTGCGTTTGGCGCCTTTTTTTAGATGGGCCTGATGTCCCGTATGAAAGACCGTTGGTCGTCAAACCCAAAGAAGACGCGACTTATGCGTGCGGACGATACAACGTGGTTGACGTCACAATAATCGACGCATTCTACTGCTCTTCTTGCGGTTGCTGCAGCTACGAATCGTCCCAAATATTCTGATCCGACGGCTTGAACGCTATTGTATCTTTGGTCGCACATTTGTACTTACAACAGGCTTATTTTTCCGCCTCGACCTTCAATATAAAGTGCTGAATGAAGTGGAATGCGACAAACATGTGCCATGTACGCGCGTTATGCGTTGACCTAATATCCAGGTTTTCGCCAAGCAATGTAAATACATCCAAATAGAAAGACGATGTGAGATGCGGGCGCCCTGATTGTAACGGGGTGAATCGTTACATAACAATTTATTAGAAATTGTTAATAGAATATAACTATAAGAGTTATATTCTCAGAATATCGTCATAAGGACAAATATTCTGTAGCACTTACGAGTAGTTCCTAATTGGTTGATATAGGCCATTATATCAACCAACGAAGACGCGCCACGACAGACGCACGCAATGAGTGGTGAGCAGATAGCTGATTTACACATTTGTATTTAGACATAGTTAGATGAAGATAAATAGTGATTTATTGCAGACATTAACTATTATAAATACAGTTCTACTTTTTACTCCAACCGAGTACTCGCTTCTTCTTACCGTCTTCCTCTGCACGTACAAGTGTACGTGAAGTTACGAGGCACCGCCTTATTCTGTCATCAGAATAAGTAGCTTGTACTGTCACCAGTACAAGCTTCAGGGTGCCCCGTTACACCTGGTAGCACTTCGTAGTCCGTCCAAGGACCGCGTTCACATCCAACATGAATATGTTAGATGATGAAGATGACCAAAGCTTTCACGCTACGCGTGACGGCTACTCCCATTTGAGCGATGTCGAATGGGATGCGGTTGAACGAATGGGTTCGACCATGGGCATCCATGCTGTTAGCGTCATGCTAGAGGCTCTCAATAGAGATGCCCAACATGCTACTATCGCCAAGTTCATTCAAAATGAACTTGACGCTGAACGCGAGAAAGTAGCCTTGCTTCACCAACAAGGTTCTCAACAAGCAGAGTTGTTAAGAGAACAGGGTGCTCAACAGTTTGAACTGTTGAGACAGCAGCAGGCTGCTGCTGGCGGGTCGATGCACTCGCGTCGACCCGAGACCTTGAAGATTGACATCTCCAAGTATAGGGGAGTCGAAGAGGACTCCCTCTTGAGATGGTTCGTCGAATTGGATGACGCCATAAGGGCGCGTCGCATCGACGATGGGGAAATGCAAGTTGCATTTGCCCAGTCAAATCTGGCAGGACGTGCCAAGACTTGGGCACTGGGGCTCAAGTTGCACGACCCATATGCGTTTGGGTCGTTGGAAGTCTTCAAGTCGCGGCTCAGACAAACGTTTGAACCGCCTAGAGCTGAGTTCGGAGCTCGAACCGAACTCTTGAAGCTCAAGCAGGGTAAGCGTGATGTGCACGCTTACGCGCAACATATACGACATCTCACGAGTTGTATAAGTTCCAATCCGGTGGATGAACACACGTTGGTTTCGGTGTTCATGCAGGGTCTTGCGGATGGTCCCGTCAAGACTCACCTGTTCCGGCTTGAACTAGATTCACTAGAACAAGCCATTTCCATTGCGGAACAGGAAGACATCAGTCTGAGACAGGCTCGCGCCAGCTCGACATCATATCGTCAACCGAGACGATATGACAACGGAGGTCCAGAGCCGATGGAACTCTGTTATGTAGAGAGCGAGAAGGCTCGCTCTACAGGCTACAAGAAGTTGCAGAGATGCAACAGATGTCAAAAGACAGGACACTACGCTTATGAGTGTAGTGCCCCTCGTCCAGTGTCTCGCGATACTGGGCGTAGTGACCGTCCACCCATGAGAAATGGGCAGGGACGCGGGTCCGCTGTTGGTGCAAAGACGCAACAACGGGATGGACCGTCAAAAAACGGTCAGGATCAGTAGATGCGGAGCACCCTACTGATCCAGCAACGTCAAGATAATTTGTAGGCCTCTTGATGAAGGTTGCTCCCAACGCAAAAACGTTGTGCGTTGCTGCTCTAGGTAACGAGGACTCACTCATACCTTGAAACTCGAAGTGACGAATGAGTTGTCTCTTCGAGCTCTAGTCGATTGTGGGGCGTCCAACAATTTTTTGCGACGCCAATCGCTAGAAGATGGTCACTTTAAGTTCAGTGAATGTGACACATCTCCTACGAGGATGACGGTACGTCTTGCGACAGGCGCATCCGTAACCGTCATGAAGCGTATGGTGAAGATCCACTATACGCTAGAAGATACCCAATACGACGATGACTTTATCGTATTGGATTTGGATGACAAATTTGATGTCATCCTTGGAATACAGTGGCTCAGAAGGTACGAACCACGGGTAAACTGGCAGCATCGAACAGTAACGATGCCTGCCGCTTGTTCATCAGATGGCCATCTGATGAACGTTTTGGAGCGTCCACAAGCGTGTGGATGTACTACGAGTGAGTGCGATGGCCTCACTTGTGGTACGGTCGTTAGTACGACTGCACAAAACCTTAGTGTACCAAACGGTTACACTTCGGAGCAAAGTTCCGGCGGCTGTGAGGAAACACAGGCTGCGCCGAAGGTCCACCACTCGAATAAGTCGGGTGGACTGGGACAAAGATGTATCCCTAGCGGGGAACATCTAGAAGAGAAACGATCGATCGCTCAGGTTAAGCGAAACGATAATCCTAGATCGACTGGAGATTCTTTCGTAGAGGATCTCGCTGTGGTTGCGCAACCCCAGCTAGAGGAAGTAAAGGGAATAAGTCCCGATCATACAAATACGGCGGAAATAAGTACCCCGAAACCCGCGGGAATAAGTCCCCGGGAAGCCGAAGGAATAAGTCCTTCGAAGCCTGAGGGAATAATTCCCCAGGAACTGACAGAGACATTGAATGTCATAGTCAATAACGGGTCAAGTGTAGGCGCTTATACACTTGATCTGATTGCGCCTCCGAAGTTGACTTCGGAGATCACTCAGTTGCCAACGCGCGAACATAAAATGTTCTTGCGTGATCTGCGTAGTGGCAAAGTCAAGCAGATCTGCGTACTCGTCGCTGACGACGAGTGTGTAACCGACATAAGGTCAGCAACAGTGTTTACTGAGAACGAGAGAGTTCTCAGTAGTTCATCTATGGACGAGAGTGTCCTAGATGAAAAGACACGAATTGAGCGATATGACTCCCAATCGTGGGAATCGCTCAAGACAAATCCTCTCTATGAACATTTGGTTGAATTTAAGGATGTATTCCCTGAAACTGTTCCGTGCGAATTACCTAAGGATAAAGGTATTCGACACGAGGTCGAGCTCAAACCAGGCTCGAAGTACTGTGTCATGAAGCAGTGGCCACTGTCTCGTGAACAAGTACTTGCGATCGACAAGTTCTTTGCCGATCGTTTAGCTGCGGGCCATGTGAGGGAATCAACTTCCCCACATAGCTCTCCGACCTTCTGTGTGCGAAAAGCAACAGGAGGGTGGCGGATAGTGCATGCATTTAACGAGTTGAATGCTGCAACGGTACCGGCTCAGACGCCGATACCAAGGAAGGACGTAATCATTGATGGTATGTCAAAGAGTACCATCTTTTCGTCCATGGATTTGATGGATGGCTTCTATCAAATCCTTATGCAGGAACGGGATATACCCTATACCGCAGTTAGCACGCCTAGCGGCATGCTCTGGGAATGGCTAGTAATGCCACAAGGGCTTAGTAATGCCCCTGCCACGTTCAACAGATGTGTATCGCATCTGTTGAGACCAGTACGAGAATTCGCGCCGAGTTATTTCGATGACGTATTCATCCATAGTCGAGCTATGGATGGAAAGTCAGACGTTGAGGTTCACAGGTACCACGTCCGACAAGTTCTTACAATCATGCGAAAGCATCAATTGTATGCTAACCTCAAGAAGTGTATATTTGCAGCAAGCGAAATACCACTTCTTGGATGCATCGTTGGTAAGAACGGTGTACGTCCTGATCCCAAAAAGATCAAGGCGATCACCGACTGGCCTGTGCCGGTTGATGTCAAAGGTCTTCGAAAATTCCTCGGGCTAGCGGCGTATTTGCATAAGTATTCACGCAATTACGCCGAGATGACTGTGCACCTCTCTCGTTTGTTGAAAAAGAACGAGAGGTGGTTATGGAACGCTGAATGTCAGCGCTCCTTTGAGGGTATCAAGAAGGGCTTGATACAATCCCCAGTCCTAGCAATTGCCGATCAGGACAGGCCATTTCATGTGGTCTGTGATGCCAGCGATTTCGCAATCGGCTGTGCATTAATGCAGTACGATCTTGAAGGCGTTGAACGCTTCGTCTGCTATCAGTCGCGTCAGCTGCAACCAGCTGAGCGTAACTATCCAGTGCATGACAAGGAACTCCTTGCCATGAAGTACGCACTCGCGAAGTTCAGAGTCTATCTATTAGGAGATAGACCCTTCATTGTTTACACTGACCATGCGTCATTACGCACGGCAG